GCGTGACAAAAGGTACTCAATACGGTAACCATATTCCAATCAAGGGGCTGGCTATCGAGCGTGAGGACATAATCAACCCATGCGTTTAATACCAGTTGGTCTTTAGGCGAGTAATATTCAATTGCCTTGCTTACTTGGCTTTTCCACTTCCACGGCTGTTCTATTTTGACAATTGTTGCCTCCTTTAAACGTTTAATCAAAGTGCTTGTGTCTGTCTTTGCCAATGTCTTCAGAATTATCCACACGGATATGTCTTTTGAGCCGACGTCTTTGGCCCTCACACTATACATGACTGAGTACTTGACGAAACGCTTAAAGTCATTGTTTTTAAAAATATCTGTTTTTGTGAAATCAAGCCACATGAGCTTGTGCAAAAAACTCGGTGGTATTTGATCTCCCAGACAATATAATAGGTTATTTTTTATATACTCAGCAATTTTTTCCCACCTTGGGTCTTTTGTCATGATACCAAACACGTCTTTGAATTTTATTTTAGGAGCAAAATCCTTCACAATCAAAAACATTGACTCTGCTTCGTTGGGCAATACCTCGTTATATGTAACCAAACTTTCCACCCACGTCAAAAGCTTAGGCCGATATTCATTGAGCAAGTTGAGTTTTTGTAACAAAAAACTTTTCGTCGGAGAAAGTTTATCCTTTACCCAACGCTCTGATCGTAGTTTTTGAAGCGATATGGCGAAGTCCTGCACTTTGGGATTCTGTCTACCTGCCTCCAGTATCGTGGATACAATTTCTTCATTACGAACGATCGCGTTGAGTGTGGCAAGAAAATGGATAGGTTTTTCTCGATGAGTCATCTCGTTGAGTTGTTCAACTTTTTTGAAAAGAACGTCAACGTTTTCGGGCTCGATGTATTCTGATAAAAATACCGGGAAACTTTCATCGGAGCATTTAGCGGTGAAGAACTTATTGTAAGCTTTCAGAAAACGTTTAGAGCTTTTATTCGCGAGATCACCATATAGGACGTTGATGTAATCATACGATTTACCGTTGTCAAACCAGTGCTGAAACAACATATCTTGTAATCGTTTAGCTTCACGTTTCTCCATGACATAAGTAGCTAGAGTAAAGTCATCAAAGTAAGGATTCAAAAGTTCAATCGGGTCAATTCGGGAATTGGGATTACGAGCTCTATAGGCAGCACAGAATTCTTCCCATTTATGCAACATCACGAAGCTTTTATTTTCAAAGTCGAATAGCTTTACAACGTCAAGCGGAGTTTTTCCGGTGTCCAGCCAGTATTCAATTTGCTCATTTTCAAGAAACGAGGCAACTTTTTTTGTCATTGGATCCAATTTTGCTGCCTCAATCATTGTCGATGCCTCATGTTCATCAAAGCAAGCTGTGAGTGCAGCAAAAATACTAATCTGCTCAGTCGGATTTCTTTTATTCAAATCGCGAATGAGGGTGATAAAGTCTGAGAACACTGATCCAGCGTCCGAGTTCTTGCTTTTGAGATTACCGACGTGCTCCAAAAGCATCCTTTGAGCCGATGTGTAATAATCGCTGTACTTCTCCAGCTTTAAATCAAAACGAGGATTCGTATGATCCCCACGCTTCATAATATCAGCAGGCTTCATCGCTCTGTTAAACCAATCCTGAAACAGCATTTTTCTCAATTGTTCGGCACTTTCCAGACTTACTGAAGTTGCCTCGCCAATAAAAGTGATCAGCTTATTGTCAGGGATGTAATTTTTCGATAGCGAGTCAGAATGACGATTGCTGTATTCGTGATATAACTTGATTAAGCGAGAGAAAAAAACCGAATTTCTTTTTGAGCCGGAATCTAACCGCTCAATGGCTTTATCTAGCGGTACGCCTCCGTCAGCCCAATGTTGAAACCGCTGGGTCTCAAGAAGCTCGAAAAAATCACCCGTGCTCGGCACCAACTTACTTTCGCCAAGTAATTTATCCAAAAATTCGTCACTACGATGTAGAGAGAGCAGCGCTAACAAGTTGAGTTGTTTGAAAGGATTTTTTGTGTTATATGAGTAAAGCTGCTTTTCAAACTCGGTAAGCATGTCTTCATAAGACAATTTCGTGTTCAATGAAATTGGATCCACAATGTTCGCTGTGTTTTTCTTCAATTTAGCAACGAAAACATCGAAACTATCCAACAGTGGATCGAAAGCATATTTCATGTTTTCGTTATTTGTCCCAAGTAACTCATTGAGTCGTTCACGAGTTATCGCCATATTGAACCAGTGCGAAAACAATATATCTTTTAGTTGAGTAGCGCCACTTACATTTGTTGACATTGCTTCGACGACCAATTTGGCCAGCATTGCATCTGAATAAAATTTCTTCAGAACGTCGTGCAGATCAAAG